TTATATTAGTGTTAACAAAGGACCTGAATAAGATATAAGTAAGAGATGTTATATTTTAAATAAAAGTCCAGGTAATGTGCCACTGGGGACCTCAGAATCAAATGAGCTTTTATATTTTTATGTAGAATATAATCACTTTTTTCATGATTGTGGTTGCTACATTACTGTTATTAAAGAGCTTATTATCCTTTGGGGGATACTGCTCTTCGGAATTACATGCTTGCAGACCAGAAGAGATAGTGTAGCTTCATCCACTGATCCACTATACAGCATGGGACAACAGAACAGCAGCATACTGGGACAGGCATCGCATGGTACCAAGCCTAATCCCACTGGTACTGCAGGGAGTCAGAGTGAGATGCAATGGAAACTGGAAAGTCATTGTCATATGGTTATTCTGTTTGCAATCCTGTAGTACATAATGAGTCTCTATCAAGCTTTTCAGGGAAATTGGCCAAAATGTAACACATAAAGAGACGGCAAATAGGCACAAAAAAAAAAAAAAAAAAAAAAAAAAAAATAAAAGGCAAGATATTACAAGAAATGGAAAATCACCTAACAGACCAATTATCCCCCTTCAAACTTTGGAAAATCTTAGCACATCTTCCTAGACTATTATATATCTATCATTTATTACCAAGTCGACCTTTATCCCTCTCTCTACCTTGGCAGCATTATGCTTTCACAGGAATTACTTTTTAACAGAGTATTCAATCTATCAGAAGATCCATGCAGGACCCACTTTCGAATCAAAGGGGTCAATACCCTCTTCCCGCTGATCCGTTTTTCAGCAAGCGCTATGGTGAATGTTACAAAGAAAACAGTGCCAGCTCCTGGGACAACCCTACTGCCTCCTTGCACCCTAAATACATCTTCTTCCATCTCAATTTCAGACTGCACTCCAAGGATCATCATTAGGAAACGGGCTCATCCCACTAGATTGGAGCTTCTATGCCTCCCATAGATTCCAGACTAATAATATACTTAAATGCATACATCTCAGAAAGCAAACGTTACTACTGAAGTTTCCTCATTATGACTCCTGTGATGTAAACACATGGGTGGTGCTATTTTTTGATATTCTGCTTGTTTTCAAGGGGGAAGATAGCTATATGATATGTTTACACTGGAATGTGAATATCTGAAGGCAAATCAAATATATTAAGTGCATCCATATCATTACCTGTTGCTTCACTGAGACAAGGAAGGAATCTCTTCATGAAAGATGAACAGGAATGTATTACCACAGCATCTTAAGAAAAACAAGTGATCCACAGAGCCCAAATAGGTTACAGGAGGTGACACCTTTCTCTTTCTCTCACCACTAGGAACATCTCCTTGCTTCATTTCCCATGAAAAGCTGTCAAGCAAACACCTATCTAGAACATAAGAGGAAACAACTCATCATTTCCACATACAGTGGCTGCTTACGTCTTCATGTCATAGTGCTAGTAGTGGTTCTGAGTGCACAAAATTCATAAATATCAGCAAAACGTGTGAAAAACGATATTCTGGAACATATATACTCATGTGGGTATTATCCATGGTATCTGCTGTCATCATTTATCAAATCTGTCTTTCAAAGATATTAGACTTCACGTCAAGGAGAAATGATATCCAGGACAGGATCATCAATACTACCATGCTGTCTACTACCATGCTGTCTACAGCGGAGGAATTAAATTAAATTGCTATTTTCAATCTCAATCAAACAGAACTGAGACCTGGAGACTTGCCCCAGATGTCAGTGTAAGGGAGAACAAGGAGGCACAAGCAGTACAAAGCCTAACAGACACGTCATGGTAGCATCTCACTGAACACAGGGTGGAGAGTTTTAAGATGACCCCACCCTCTTCCACTGTGCATTAGTAAGCAACTTCCCCTCAACCTGTTGTTATTCAGTATCATCACAAATACTTCGGAGTACACAGAATGCAGTATCCCCTATCAGCACTGGTACAAGTGCTTTTGCAGGAGAGAAGGGATGCCCCGTGCCCAGAGCATGACCACATTGGTGTCTTCCAATAAATAGGATAACCTAGTAACATATTCTCAGCTCCTGCTGTGCTTTAACCATGCATTCCATTTAGCCTCTCAGGCAAGGACAGGGAAGTAGTGAGCAGTTTCTTGACTCTCCAGAGTTAAGATTTATGCTCACCCATACAGCATGTACACAAAATGAAATCAGCCTTTATACAGCCCCCCAAGTGGGAGGCACCCCGTCCTTGTATACCCATTCACACACCACATATCATGTAGCTCATAAACCATGTCACACATTAATGAGATCCAAATAATGCAGAATCTACAAAGTAGTAACATCTGTAGTTACACTACTTAGTTTAAGTCACAAGGATTAACAGTCCCCATGGTACTAGAAATACACTAATCACTTGCAAGGATCACAGAAGAATTGTTGCCATCTTGTGCTGCCTGGCTGGCCAAGTGATTTTAATCTTCTTTTGAGATAGACACTGGATCTTATAAACCACTGGTCTGCTGCTGTAAATAAAGAAAGAATTCTACAGCCTCTGTCCACTCATTATGTCCTTTTTGTGTAAGAGGCAGGAAAATCATGTTTTAATGTGAAAAATTTAGTACTGAAGAAAAAAAAAAGCAAAAAGCTTGCAACCAAAGTGAAAGAGCTTTGGTTTTCATGTTAATGACTCTTCCACAGCCTTATTTAAGAAAATCCTACAAGTAGGAGATAATCTAACAAATCCATGCATACCTAAAAACCCAGTGTTGAAAATAGATTGCAAAACCTTTTCCAACCCTCTTTAAGTAACAAAAATGAAAAAGAAAAGAAAAAAAAAAAAAAAAGAAAGAAAAAGAAGAAAGCTTAAAATTCTGGATGAGTTTTTCATTTTTTTTTAAATTAGAAATTTGATAATTAAATAGCATCTTTTAAAATCCTTTCTATAATACTGTATTTGCAATATGTATATAAATGTGTGTACTGAAATGTAATAGATACATTATTTCACTACCACTTTTTTAAGGAGCAACCAGAAATGATAGCATTCTTTTCCTTGACTTGTACAGGCATCCAGAGATCATCCAAAAGAATGTCACAGAAGAACAGCATTTGAATAATCCGTACTTTGAGTAATAGTTTGAACATAAAAGATTACTGTGCCGATGGCAGCCAGTGGACATATTTCATACTACTACAGTAACTTTCTTTCTTATCACTTCATTTAGTGATATCATCTCTCTTGAAAAAATAATGCTGCATGATATTTCTGTCTCCTGGAGTCGAGATGAGCATAACGATTCTATCAGGTTTAATACATGATAGCACTCCTACATCAGTTCTCCGTGAAAATCCAAAGGATTTCAAGGAAACAAACCTATATACCATGTTTGTCCTGTGTATGTTTGGGTTTGTTCTTTTCTGCAGTCTTTTCATTATTGCTAGTGTGCTGGCCGAACCCTTTCTATAGCAAGAATAATCGTAAATCTGCATGAAGTTCGTGATGATTAGTTTCTCCTGGAGTTGGGCCAAAGAATAAGCCTTTCTCCAATACAGCCTTCACATGCAGGCTCAGTCAAGAATTCGTTTATTAATCCTATCAAGCCTGGATTAAGCCACCCAGAGGCCCCAATGACATCAAGTAACTCTGCGCCTTGAGATAGGCCTCCCAATCGAAAGATCTCCAAAACAGCAAGTTAGAGGTTAGCCCTGAACACAGACCACGCTGTATCTCTACTTAATCCCAAAGTGCTGGATCAGGACACCCACATCGAGGCATCTGTCTCCCCACTGCAAGCACTAATAGCCTGTGCTCCAGTTTAGGACACAAAACGCAAGCGTGCTACATGCTAAAGGATATAGGAATAATTAAAAGACAGAATGTGTTCTAAAGGATATTGTAACTGAAGATGAGAAGATAAAGTCTAAGCAACACAGTAGCCAACCTAAGAATTTCTTTACTCATACCCTTTTATTCCATAAGCACATTGGTGAAAAGACTTCAGCAGACATTTCATGCGTCAAAATCTTCTACAAGTTTACTTATCCATACACAGTATTATTTTGGTATCAAGAGCAATCATACCTTGATTCAAATAGTCTTTCTACAAGCTGTATTAAAACTCTATCACTCCATTTCCTGAGAGCTCAGCTGGCTCTTTCTTGCCTTCCTAGTTTCTAGCTTAAATTCTTCATCTTTCATTTTAAAATGCAGATTTTGAGGTTGATACTCTATTTCAGAAGCAAGATTAGGCTAAAAACCTGATTTCCGCCTTCTTTTATCTATTTGGCTATTTCACGTCAAGAGCATAAGCACAATTTTCCTACTGCAAAACTCCCACCTGGTCAGCCTTGTTAGAAATGTTTGTGCCTCCTCTCAAACAGATCCCCTCCCCCCCTTCCTACCACATCCCCCTCTCAATCCAGGCGAGATTTGTTACAAACATTTCACAGAGCCCTAACGTTGTGTGAACTCTTGCTGAATTATTGTTGTTCCAGGAGTGTCCTGGGGGGATTTTCAGAGCTGCTGTGAGACAGTGATATTCCTTGTGGAGGACTAATAGATTGTCACTGCTTCCACTGGGAACAATGAAGGTCAGATGTGCTAGCTAACCTATGCTAACACGCAACTTCCTTGCTCTGCTCAGGAACAGCACTGAAAATAATATCAGGCTTAGGTATCCCTCACTGCCATTTCACATACTGAATCAGTCCTAGCAATGCAGGGCTTTTGGCTTCAGCCTGACTCCTGGCAAATCAACTCACTAATCCCACAGGATCCACTATTTCACCTGCACCAACAGAGCGAATCTCAAAAGGCAGAAAGGAAGAAAAACGACAGGAGGAGAAGTCATCTGCTCAAAGCATCTCCCCCAGGCAGCTCAGCCCTGAGCCCTTCCCTCCTCCTGCAGCACACTCCTACTTATCATCACACACACCTGGATTAATCTCTAAAAACTGTTGTGCTTTCTTTTTAACCAACCCACCCTACTTTTGTTTTGTGTTTTTGTGTTCCTTTTCTTACCTGTCACTTGGGGCTCTTCCAGAAGAAACAGACTGCACATTCACAACCTGACAGAGGCTGGTGGATGAATTCCTCACCCTCTGGATCCGGACATTTCTTCCGGGTCCTGCAGAAGCTGTAGCCTTCTTGCCCATCTGGTGCCTTATAAAAGACAAAGGTTTTGTTTTGAGCATGTATGTTCACTATTCAGTGTTGTCCTTTAACACATCTGCATGCATGCATCTGTTGATCTTCTGTTTATCAATACGATCCAGTCCAGCATTTTATGACATTCTGAAAAACTTAGGAGCAAATGAAAGCCTGGGCAGGAAAGGTGCATTCAGAAGTTTTGAAAGAAAATCTAATTCATAAATATTAGAACTACAAGGGAAAATGAGCCACAGCTTGATCACACATCAAGAATAGCAATTAGGAACAATTGTTGAATTTAGTTTAGGTATGCAGCATACGTAGGTAAATACACTGAATGCTAATGGTTTTATAATAGTCTTATTAATTCACACACATAGTTAATGTTTAAGATAAACTCCCCATCTTTAGAGTAATTTATGCATTCCACTTTTATAGAATTCCAATTGAATGAATATGAACATAATCATTTTGCACAAATGTTCTCTAAGGAGTGTGCAGAGAGTCTGAGGCAATGCTGAGGCTCCCCACAGCTTTATTCATAATGGATCAGTCTATTCATTCCTTATTAATTTAATGGAGTACAACTGAGCAGTCTAGCAGCTTGAGCTTATGAGTGTTTCACAAATGGGGCTTTTTGCCTGTAATCGCTTAATCCTACTGGCTAGGCCTCATAAATTGAATAAAGGAGTGAACTAGGTTTTAATTAAGTCTAAGGAATGAGCTTGTCTGAAAGATACTACAGCCTCTTAAGATCACAGTGGTGAAGTGTGTTTGTCCAGAAGCCTGGCGGGGGCAAGCAGCCTGGGTTAGTTAGGGTAGAGACCAGTTGCTTTGATGTGAGGTATTTGTTAATACCTTTTCTTTTTAATTAAAAATCCATTTTCCACTGTCAGTACCATCCAAAAGAATAAGCGAGAGAACTGCAGCAAACCTGACTGGTTTGGGGAAGCAAAAGTGCTTTGGGATTCATTCTTTCTGACTCCATAAAGTAGCTTACAGCCTGATGCTGGCAACCAAAGAACAAATCATTTGGCCAAGTGGTTCTGAGCTGTTCTGTGTCAGGGTCCATTGCCTCGGGTTGAGCCAAATGCATGCAGAACTCAGGAGCAAAAGCACAAAATGGGGAGTTGGGCTCTCACCCCCTTCGAGGGGTCCCATGCATCAGGTCAGAGGTAGCAGGCTCACAGCCACCTGCCTGCTCCACTGCAGAGCACAGCTTTCTGCCCCAAGCATATCCACACACCAGCTCAGGAGGAACAACTCAGTGCTGGTTTCTGACCAAATCTGAGCAAGACACAGGAATTAAAGCTCCTCTCCCATGCTCTCCGAGGCCCCGTTCTGCCAGCCTCTTCTGAGAGAAACACAAACAGAGAATCACTTCTGCAGCAAAATGTATTTGCAGCCACTTTCTTTTACTGTTCAGCTGCTGGAGAAGCAATTCTGTCCCAGGCTGCAAACCAGCCTGGCTCTCAGCTCGGTTAGACAGAGGGGCCTTCAGCTCCCTGCTTCTCCACAACAGCCTCCAGGGACCAAAAATCACCTTCTACACTCCTCCAAACTACCCAATGAGGATATATCCTATGCAACAAGGATTTTGAGATTCATGGTGATGTAAAAGCTTTACTGATGAACATTTTCCATCTCCTCCTCTGGTGGGCTCTTTAAGTTAGCCGTATTGGATACAGAATAGATGCGAGGCAGTGAGCTCGGGTGCCCTCCTCCCCCCTGGGACCAAGGCTAGAATGTAAACAGCACTGCATTCTGTTATAAAACTATCAGTTTAGTAAATCATCATTCAGGATGCAGGATTTTCTTCTTGTAAATAGAGATAAAGGACAGGATTCTGGGGAATCTGTCAGTTGCTTTGCAGTGTAATGAAGGGAGACAATATACTGTTACTACTGTGATTTGCAGTTCCAATGCAAAGTATCTGAAAGTAGTCTGTAACCCAGGTATGGTTTTCACACACCCATGCAACAGCACACTGCAGACCCAGCAACAGACTCTTTTTGCTGAGAGTATGTACATACATGGCAGAGAGAGCCCCCGACCCCAGACTCCCACCTACGGGCAGTATTTTACAGGCTTGGCATTCATTTGTCATTTTCCTTCCATACTCACAAATAAGAAATGGAGAACTGTAGGGCTGGTGAAAGGAAGGCTAATTTGCCTAGCTTGCTTCTTGTGGGTTTTACTGAATTATGCTGCTGCCCCTGAGTCATGCTTTGGTATTAGGTTTTAGCTGTAGGTTTAAGTTATGCCAAAGGCAGGAAGGAGATGAATTTTAATTAGGCACCCATCTCTTGATGAATTCTCCTAGGATGCTTTGAAAATCCAGGCCCTAGAGCTGTCGTGTGTGTGCATGCTTGTTCCTGGGCATGTTGTATATATCTGTGCACACACAAATCTACATAAATAAATAAAGCGACATGATCAGATGTTCAAAGGCATTCAATCCTGAGCAGCACCCTGTTGTTCTTAACAAGGGTTGGTGCCTGCTGAGCTCCTCTGAAAAGCCAGTCCAGGTCTCTGACTGCGCGGAACGCTGAACTTTATACAGCTGAGATGAACGTACACCATTTCTGATGAGAATTAAGTTTTAATTGCTTTGCAAGATCTGGATCTGAGTGGGGTAGAACACTGCATCTCTCTAATCGTTTGGCGTTTCAGTTTCAACCCACCGCTCCCAGCCTGGTGATGACTTGAGGCACCATGGCAGCTTGAGTCCAAAGGCTCCTGTCATGGCAGTGGCAGAATTCAGAACGCCTGCTGCAGATGGGGTGAAAAAGGATTAAACAAATACCAGAAGTGCATGTTAAAATGTAAATGCAAGCTGTATTTATTTAAAGGGCTGTTATGATTGCTTAATTACAGTTCTTAAAAAAAAAAAAAAAAAAAAAAAACAGCAACAAAAAACCTAAAAAACTGTCTTTTAGTCCCCTAAACAGCTTGTGTTCTACATACAGCTAGAAAGGCAGGCCAGGCTTATCTGAGAGTGATGGACATACAGTGGACACCATTTTCAAACAAGTATTATTCAGGATCTGAGATTATTTTCTGTTCTGATTAAATTTTCTAAACTACTGAAAACTCTTTTTTAATTATTCATACAAGCAACAAACAAGTGGGCTCCGGTATGTGAATATGAAGGAGTGGAGGCCTCTAGATGTGCTTTTGAGAGCGCTCCTCGTGTCAGCACACTCACTGGAGTTCATCTCCCCAGGGTCTGAAAGGCAGACTGCTTTGAAAAGGAATCAGAACCATGAAGTTGCAAAACCACAAAATCTGACAAAGACGGAGGACTCAAATGATATCTCTCTCCATTAGAAAAAAGACTTGACTCCATTAGCAAGAATTCAGTGAGGGGCAAAGAGCTGGTGGGAGCAATTTAGCATCTGTACTTTGCAGATGAAAAAACTGCACCACAGAAGATGGAGTGCCAATGGAGTCTGACAGCCATGTGTGACCCTGAAATGCCAAAGTGGACATTAGAGCCGGTCCTTGGACTCACAGCAGGGATCCCAAGCAGCCTCCCATGGTAGCCAACACATCTATACAGCTCAACCCTTCCCCTCCCACCCCATAATAAGATCAGAGCCCCTCCATTTGGCTTGCCTCTTGAGTTGCTGTAGCTCAGCAAAACAGACGATTCATGTATGAAGAAAATTTGTGGAGCTGCTGGAACATCCCATAGAGTTAGCAAGTCAAAAGGATCATTCTATATCCTCGTTTTTTCAGTGTAAGTAGTTAATGGGGAAATACCTCAGAAGTACATTTATACTTAATAAGTGGAAGACTGCAGGTACCTACCGTGTCAGCAGTCTGCTGCATAAATGCATAAAGCCATCTGTAGCAAAAGTACTACTGATCTGTTTTTAAAAATGGTTAATTATTCTCACATTTTAAACCAATGGCACTTAAAAGAGATAGCATATAATAGACTGCAACATTTTCCAAACTAGTGCAATTTTTAAGGTGCTGCTAACACAGATCTATTGACTGTTTTGCACTAATTACTTACAAAAGATGCTCCAGGGCAAATCGCACACTCTCACTCAATTTACAAAGGAGGTCGTTCAGCAATTGACAAGGTGTGCCCCTCCACTTGAACAGCTGTTGGATTGGAAGGAAAATAAATACTGAACTCCGAGAAAATGGAGAGAAAATGTTGTCAAGCTAACACAGAATTCTCTTCATGTTGTTAATTGTTAACACAAAATTCCCCTGGTTTTCATCATCCTGCAAAGGAGAAATGCACAACTGCCACAAATGTTAAATCTGTGTAAGAATTGGTCCTAACGTGCTAATTTGTTAATCTCCTTGTAAAGTATTTTTCAAATTTCTGTGCACACAGCACTTAGGACCAGACAGGAACCAAGGCAGGTAACTTCCTAGGAGGAATACATCCAAGGAAAGCACAAGGGGCCATCCCTTTACTTTTTTTTGAGCATGGGAACAAGGAAATTGTACCTAGCTATCTGCACTAAGCCAACTGATCAGCCCAATGGGCTCTAGAAAGAGGCTGTGGCCAAAAGCATCCAGCAGGCTGCTTATCAGCAGCATCTGGACAAAGCTGGATGCAATCCCTCACAGTGCCCACCAAGCTTCCTGACGCACCATTTCTAATTACACATTAGAAAGCTGCACAGACAGGTGAGACAGAATGGTGGACAAGTTAGGAGTCTTTTTCACATTCCCACACTATGGTAGAATATATACACAATCAAAAAGCAATTTAAGTGAGCATTAATGGTGAAAAACAGGATGCCAGCATTGTCTACCGCAACAGCTGTTCAGCATCTGAATGAAATACTGCATCCAGCGTTCACCCATCTCATAACATCCTTTTTGTAAGTCTCCGAGGTCACCTAAACACATTTATTGACTTCATTATTTTTATATAGGGGGAAAAAATGGATGCTGCTGCAGAGCTGAGCAAATAACTCACAATAAAATCTTTATTCAGTGTATTTCATCTTTTTTTTTTTACTGTTCTTGCAACACAGTGAAATTCTTACATTTACCGATTATCTAAAATCACTATCTGAGAACTTGTGCAGTAAATTTTTTTATGCTACAAGATGTTCTTGGAAAGTTCAGGGTGAATATTTACCATTAAGTCTGTGCTTGTTATTTAGACAAACCATGCAGCACTGTTTCTGTTCTCCAGTTGACTTATGTAATTTATAGGACAGCACAACTTGTGAATTTTAGTGGTGAGCATACATGACAAATCCACTAACAGTTGCTTAGAGTAGCTCAGATTCTAGGACATGTCAATAATTAATTGCTTGAGGAATAAAATTAAAAAGCAACTTAAAGGATCATATGCCAGGTGTCCTATCCAGAAGAAACAGAACCAGAAAATGTGATAGCAATGCACAAATCAGAGGTTGATTAGTTGTACATATTGTGAAATGAAACTCCCAGTGCCACTTAACATGAGAGTGTGTGTAAACTTTTTTTCCTGTTTTTTTCTTTTTTTTTTTTTTAAAAAAAAAAAGCATTTTTAAAATTTATTTAAGAAGTCTACTTAATTCCACTGAGTTCCCATTTCACTCATGGCCTGAATCAAAGACAGCCAGATCCTCAGATGCTACCAGTCACCCCATGTCCTGTCGACATGTTGATGAACTTATGAAACAAATACATTTACATGAAAACTGTAGCTCACAATATTCTCAGGTGAGATATATTAATAGGAATCCAGATGAACCCTAGATCGTTCAGGATATGATGATACTAACTCCTGCTGATACAGATGGGTACTGATTTCACAATATAGAGTTCTGAAAAGTAGATTTGCTTCAGCGAGCTCATATTTGGATCTTGTTTTGAAGCATGCGAAGGAATTCAGACATCCTCAGGTACAGATATATATAATTTTAGAGTGTTCTTAGCAATGAGTCTGTTCAAATTGAATGAGGTCTGAAATTTGCTTGACCCATCCCTATTAAAACAAATGAACCAACAAGTGAAGTACATAGCTCATTATGAGTATAAAAATAATTCAAAGCAAGCCCCCCACTGGCTCAGCACAAAGGGATGGCTCCTTGGTTGGTTGCTCAGGGCATAAGTAGCAATGACACAGATGCAAATTGTATTGGGGGAACAACGATGCAGAGCTATGTATGTGGGGAAAAGTTTCATCCTTTAACTGCACACAGGAGATCGTTCAGACGTCTGTTCAAAGGAAATTAAGCCACGAGCTCTGAACAAAAATGTCTCTCCTATGATGGGCAGACAGGGTGCCACAATTTCTAATGAGCCAAGTTTTATCCAAATGTTTTCTGAATGTTTGTGTATTTTTCACCAAAATGATTTTATTTAATTAGTACAGGAAATCCAAGTAAAGCATTAATGGATTTCTATAACTGCCAGAAACACATCAAAAGTAACAGAAGTCTTGATATGATGGCACGAGATTGACAGTAAGAGGTACCACGTTCTCTTGGTTTTGGACTCCTTGTCTTTCCACCAGTGTGCAAGCCAGTAAGTCACAGTTAAGTTCCAAAAACTGTCTTCATTAATACACAAATACAGGTCTAGATCTATGCTAAATGATTTTTATGACATTGTCTGCAAAAGAAGGCAGTATGAAAACTGCTGAAAGAGATTATGGTCACTTCATGTGCCCTGCATACACTGTACAGGAATGGCAAAGAAAAGCTCTGAGGCAGCTGCCTGACATTCAAGTTCCAACCATGCTGGTACAACTGAAATAAAGGCATTAGGACACTGCCAATCTCCCTTTCTTTTTAGTACTGCAAGTGATGTTTCAGATGATCACTCAGCAGAGGTTCAGCAGTGATGCCCACGCTGACACCCGAGTTAATGCAAAAGACCAAAAGGAACATATCCCTCTAATGAGCTCCTCTAGATCTGACATAGGTGACATTCACAGTGTGGTCTCATCTTGACTTCCAGTAGTCACATGTACCTCTCAGTTGCCCAGCCTTTGGGACTGGTCCATTTGTGGGCAATCTCAAAACAGGAAATGACTGACACGAAACACATGGAGTAGCTTCCTGTCTTCTAGAGTCTGTTGTGATAGGACAAGGGGAAATGGTTCCAAACTAAAAGTGAAGACATTTCGATTGGATATATGGAAAAAGTTATTTATAATAAAGGTTGCCCAGAGAGGTGGTGGATGCCCTGTGCCTTAAGACATTCAAGGTCAGACTGGACCGGGCTGTAAGCAACCTGATGGAGCTGTAGATGTCACTGTACATTGCAAGGCAGTTGGACTAGATGGCCTTTAAGAGCCCTTTCCAACACAATTCTACGATTCTGTTCTATGATTTTATTTGGTGATTCTTTCAACAAAACTCCAGAGGTGACACAAAGAGGACAAAATCCTTATCCTCCTGAAAACAGTGGGATCTTTGCCATTTACTCCAGGGGGAACCAGGATTCCTTTTCAAGATGCTTTGAAAAAAAGATTGCAGACAGTCTCATTCTGAAGTATTAACTTCTGTATCTTCAATAGCTGCTGATTTACACTTCCTGAGAATCTGACCCTTCAATGTTACAGGGAGCTTGGACTCGCTCTACTGCTTGCTGGCATTGCTGCTCACCAGCCCAACCCTGTGCCGCGGATAACAAGAGAGCTTTAATCCCCAGCACTCTCAATCAACACCTTTCACCAGTGTCGAATTCACATTTTGTTTTGTTTCCTTAATGGAAGCTCACAGAAGACCAAAACTGATAAACTCCCTCTTGCTCAGACTGCAGGAGCACAGGATAATATACAAGTTAAATGAAACATTAGGAGGAATAGAAAGCACTTTAGAAAACATGCACTGCCTCTTTAACATTTCAAATTTTTCTTTTAACATAAAATTACAGCATAATATGAGAAAGGAATTCAGCGAGATGCTCTATCACAATACTTGGGCAACTTTAACTCATCTCAAGTGTTATTATAAGAAATAGAATTTACTGGTATGGACTTATATTCAATAGCACTCCTTCCCTTTTTAATGAAATGTCATTATTCCAATACAAATCCTTTCATTCTGCAACCCGCTCCCCCCTTCATCTCACTATATTTCATTTCCTGCAGTTACGTGATATTATTGCCTTTTTTTTCCACAGCTATTGATTTAGGTGTATATGGTTATTACAATGCAAAATAAAACAGTTCCCCCATCCATTCTACCTTGTACCGTTGAACATTAACTTAATTTGTTTCAAATCTGCATTTGATTTGGCAAGGAAACCATTTATCTTTATGAAGAAAGCCCTCATAAAGTAGGGACTTCAGGAGATCACTGCTTTAAAAATTTAATAGCCTTGTGTCTTATACACTAGAAAAATGAATTAAACCTTCAAATATTATATGTCTCAATGTAACCTTTTTGCATTTCATACTATGTTTAATTTATTATATCCCAGGAAGAAAAAAAAACCAAGACAGATAAAGTCTCATTAGATTTAGGGTGGTAGTTGGTTCTCAGTTTTGTTTTGGCTTGGGTTGGGTTCTTTACATTCCAGGACTAAAAGTCTATCAACTTGATATTAGCAGTGGGATGTAGCTGAATGTGGTCAGGCTGGTGGTGGTTCTTCTGTGTTTGATTTTGCTTGATTTGGTTCTCAGTACTGATGAGAATCACTCAGCTCTGAAGCCACCTACAAAGTTGACCTTCCAAACCATATGTAACATGCAGTGTCTCTAAGAATGATTTCTGTGGAATGAGCACAGGACAAGCTTTCAGAGTCCACAGCAATCACAAATCAAAATAATTTATGCATTCTCACTAAAACCAGAATGTTTGGATTGCAATGTAGTGTGTGATAACTTTGGCGTGACTGGTGAAAGAATGAGGTAGGAAGAAGAAACATCCGTGACTGTAATGGAAAGGTTCTGCTTTAAAGAGCCAGTCACTTGTATGACTAGGCTGATGAACAATCTTAGCCAAAGAAAAGAAAACATCGTGTTTCCAAGACTGATTCTTGGGAAGGCCAATGTCACGAATGCAACCCTTGGTAACAATATACTTATTCTTACTCTGAGGACAGACAGCTCATATGGCTTGGTCTGGGTGAATATGACATCAAGTTTAACCCCTAATTAGCAAAGTAGAAACACATCAACAGGTCCTCTAAGCCTA